CCTGTGGGAGCACACTGACCACCAGGGGGCAGCTCCTGCATTGAGCCTCTGCCCCCTGGTGGTCAGTGTGTGTCATAGTGACCAGTCATTACCAGTCATTCTGCTGTTAGGGTCAATTTACATATTACCCTTTTATTATATAGGGTAGAGGCCTGGTGCATGAATTGGGGCCAGCTGGTTTGCCCTGAAGGGTGTCCCCGATCAGGGTGGAGGTCCCACTGGGGTGCCTGGACAGCCTGGGTGAGGATCTGAGGGCTGTTTTCAGTCTAGCCACACCCCCTTCAGGGAGGGAGATCCTGCTGAGATGCCTGGCCAGCCTGGGTGAGGGGCTGAGGGCCATTTTCAGTCTAGCCACACCCCCTTCAGGGAGGGAGGTCCTGCTGGGATGCCTGGCCAGCCTGGGTGAGTGGCTGATGGCTGTTTGCAGGCTGGCCACAGCCCCCAGCCACCCAAGCTCCCAGTCGAGGCTGGCTGGAAGCAGGTATCTGGGATTTATTTATCTTCTATAATTGAAACTTTGTTGCCTTGAGTGGAGGCCACAGCCAGCCAGGGCATGCAGGAAGCTTGGCTTCCTCCATCGCCAGGGCAACCAAGCCTCCTGCTTGCTCCAGCTCCTTGGCTGCCGGCCGCCATCTTGGTTGGGTTAATTTGCATATAGTCACTCTGATTGGCTGGTGGGTGTGGCTTGGGGCATAGCGGAGGTGCGGGCAATTTGCATGTTTCTCTTTTATTAGATTAGATATGGGAATGCTAGAATAAGATAGTTGAGTTAGATATAAAACTGATTAAAACCCTGTATATTAATCCATAATCTTTGGGGTTATTTTTCTCATCAGACATTAGTTATTTATACCACTACCTAACAAAAATTTACCAGCTACCATGTAGTTAGTAAACAGTGAGTCCTTGGGTGGCCATGAGTCCTATGTGGCATTTAAAAGGCCTATTACAGACCTTTTGTCTTTTTTTCCAAGTTGTAGATGATTTTTTGAATAAGACTCCCACTCCTTTAGACTGGATTAGAGGTGTGAGGATTGTTCGTGAATGCCTGATATAGCAAGCTCTGTTTTAGTACACTTTGTAAGTTTAGTACAGTGGGGCCTTGACTTACGAGTTTAATTCATTCCGTGACGGAGCTCGTAACTCAAATTACTTGTATGTCAAATCAAAAGTGAACGAGTGAGACACGTGATGCTGGGCTGATGTTGTGGCGTTCACTGTGACATTCACTGCGCCAACTAGCGGTGGGGTATCTGAAGCTGGCTCGTAACCCGAATTTTAGCTCGCAACTCAAAGCAAAAAATCGGCCGAGAGACGGCTCATATCTCGAAAAACTCGTTAGTCGAGACACTCGTAAGTCAAGGCCCCACTGTATTCCAATGTTAACTGCCTAACAATCTTTAATATTGAGTTTTTGAAGAGTACAAATTGTTCTAACTGGACATGTGAGAAAAGCAACAGGAGTTTTTATATGCTTAATAGATTGAAAGTAATCTGCTATGGAAAAAACTTTTCATTTTTATGTTCCCTAGGGGTTTCCAGGGGATATTGGTATTCCTGGGCAAAAAGGCCCTGAAGGATCAAAGGTAAAAAAAAAGAAAAAAGTATGATATCTATAGTTTTCTATCTCATACTTCAATGAATTGCTTAAAAAATATATTAGGAAATCAGAACATTTCTGGACATTTTTGAGGTGTCTCAGGTGCATTTAATGAACTATGTACATCTTGTTTCAAGATAATCAGGAAGTAGTTTGCATGTCTGGTTCTTGTGGTGTCCTTGGTTGAGTTAGAGTATGTTATCCAGTCTTTTGGGTTTAGGTCATTGAAAAACTCTTTTTCTGGTTTAGTCTAGATTTAGATTAGGATGACAGTGTTTGAAAAGCGCATAAATCATTGAAAACGTATTTTTAAAGAGATGAAAAAGACACACCTAAAAGCCATAGTATATAATAAATGGATGTAAGTGTTCTGACCACTAAAACCCTTTCATGCTCATGAAGTATCCACAGATTAAAATAAAACAAAGCCTAGGTGTGCTGGAATTGATATAGCATGAAATATTTTTTTTAAAAAACTAAGCATTTTAAACTGCCATTACTGTCAAAAATTTAAATACCAAGCTTTGTCAAGCAGGCTGACATAGAATGAACATTATAATAAATAAAGTATTGAGAAAATAAAGATATCAAAAGATAAATAAAGCCTGAAGTTTGAAGAATTATCAGGTTAGGAAGTACAGCTGCTGTGGAAGATTATCTATGGTCCAAAAATATTAAATGGAAAGTTACAGAAATAAGAGTTCATAAATTTAAATTGCACGATGTTCTCATTAGTGTAATGAAATCTCATGTGGTCCTGCTCTGTACCACCAAGGAAATGAATCAATCCATTGTCCGGAGCATCCAGGCTGTGTGTGCTGCTCACCTCGTAGCCACTTGGTAGCTGTCTTGGTTATCAGATTGATTGTGGCAATATTGGTGTTTATGTTCAAGTAACCCTTATTGTAGTTAATAATGGCCCCAAAGTGCAAGAGTAGTGATGCTTGCAATTTGGATATGTCAAAGAGAAGCTATAAGTGAAAGGTGAATATAGTATAAGAAGATATTTTGAGAGAGAAAGAGAACAAACACATTAACATAATTTTAATTGCAGTATATCACTATAATTGTTCTATTTTATTAGTAGTTATTGTTGTTAATTTCTTACTGTTCCTAATTTATAAATTAAACTTTACCATAGGTATACACATATAGGAAAAACAGTATATTTAGTTTTTGATACTATCCACAGTTTCAGGCATTCAGTGAGAGTGTTGGAACGTATCCCCCTCACAGATTGCTATATAGTACAGTAATAAATGTTTTACAGACATCTCATTTAATCTTCACAGCAGCAGTATTAGGTAGATATTATTCCCATTTTACAGTGAGTTAAGTTGTTCCTCCACAGTCACATAACTATCACTACCTAGCCAGGATTCTAACCCAGGTACAATTTCAAAGTCTGATCTCTCAACCACTTAGCTTTGGAATTAAATTGTGGAGAGCATTCAATACCATCATGAAGAGTTTTTACTTTATCCCTGGGCATCATGAAGTAATCAAAGATATTTATGTAGTAAAGTGTCCTTGGTGATTTATGTTTTAAAAAGATACCTCTTGTGTCACAATGCAATAAATAGGAGATAAATTTAAGGCAAGGAAATGAGGTAGAAAAAAGCTAAAAAAGACTATCTGAAGATCTGAAATAGGACATCCATTTCAATCAGAAAATATTTATTGGCTGCCTCTTGTGTAACAACTGTTGTGCTATGCCCTAGGGCAGTGATGGCAAACCTTTTGAGCTCGGCGTGTCAGCATTTTGAAAAACCCTAGCTTAACTCTGGTGCCATGTCACATATAGAAATTTTTTGATATTTGCAACCATAGTAAAACAAAGACTTATATTTTTGATATTTATTTTATATATTTAAATACCATTTAACAAAGAAAAATCAACCAAAAAAAATGAGTTCTTGTGTCACCTCTGACACGCGTGTCATAGGTTCATCATCACTGCCCTAGGGCTACAAAGATGAAAAGTTCTGATCCCTACTTTCAAGAAACTTACAATCTAGAGAAAGCTATGCAGGAAAATCTTTATATTAACCACTAGAGGAACGATGCACAAAATTCGTACAAGGGGCTTGGCCCTCGCAGCCCCAGCAGGCCCCTGCAGGCCCTCGCAGGCCCTCGCACCCTCAGCCAGCCCTCGCAGCCTCTTGCAGCCTTGGCCGACCCTCACAGGCCCTCACAGCCCTTCCCAGCCTTGGCTGGCCCTCGCAGCCCCAGCTTCATCTGGGAGGTGGTCTGGACAGTCGTCCAGAAGGATGT